CTCCATGCACCGGGAGCCCGATGTGGGATTCGATCCCGGGTCTCCAGGATCGCGCCCTGAGCCAAAGGCAGGCGCCAAACCGCTGCGCCACCCAGGGATCCCATAAATGAAATATTTTTAAAAAATAATTTAACAAAGGTACACTTGGCTGGTGTGACTCTTGGTTTCTGGGTGGTGAGTTTGAGCCCTGCTTTGGGCGCATAAATAAATAAATAAACCTAAAGAAATAATAATTCAATATGGATCATGTACTTCTTAGATTTAACACCAAAAGTGATCCAAAAAGGAAAATTGACAAATTGAATATAATCAAAATTAAAACTTTTCTTTTTGGGGGTGTGTGTGAAAGACTACATTAAGGGGATGAAAAAATACTATATACTGGGAGAAAATTTTGAACCACATATCCAAAAGAGGACTAGTATGTAGAACATACAAAGAACTCTCAAACCCAACAGTCAAAAACATAAAAAGTTCAATTTAAAAAATGGGCAAAAGGTAGGAAGAGACAAAGAGATGGTAAGTAAGCAAATGAAAAGATTTCAGGGACACCTGGGTAGCTCAGTCAGTTAAGCATCCAACTCTTGATTTTGTTGGCTCAGGTCATGATCTCAGGGTCATGAGACTGAGCCCCACATCTGGTGCTGTGCTCAGTGGGGAGTATGCTTCTCTCCCTCTGCTCCTCGTCCTTCTCCCCTGCACTTGTTCTTTCTCTCAAAATAAATATATAAAATTTAAAAAAGAAGATTTCAAAATCACTAGCCATCAGAGAAATGTAAATTAAAACCACAATGAGATACCACTACATGCCTATCAGAATGGCTAAAATAAATAATAATGACAACACCAAATGCTGGTGAAGATGCAGAAAAACTGGATCATGTGTAGATTTCTGGTTGATAAGGGTATAAAATGGTATCATCACTCTGGAGAATAGTCTGGCAGTTTTTTAAAATACTAAACATACACTTACCATATGACCTAGCCATTGTAAAATGGGGCAAATTTTTTTCCATAGAGAAATAAAAATTTATATTTACACAAAAACCTGAACATGAATATTTATAATGTTTATAGCAGCGTTTTATTTTTTGGGTTTTTTTTTTTTTTTTTTTTGGTAATAATTTGCTCCAAACAGGGGACAAATGGTTAAACTGTGATGTAGCCATACCAACCATGGAATACCACTTAGTAGTAATAAAGAATAAACTACTCATATATGCAACGACCTAGGTACATCTCCAGAAATTTATACTGAATGATAAAAGCCAATCCCCAAAGCTTGCATACTACATAATTTCATGTCATTCTTGAAATGACTGAATTAGAGAAACTGAGAACAGATGAATGGCTGCCAGGAGTTAAGGCAGGGCAGGAAAGAAGTGGGTGTGGCTATGAAAAGGGGAAGTGATTTTTGTGGTTTTGGAAATACTCTGTATCTTGACTGTATCAATGTCAACATCTGGATTGTTATATTGTACTATCATTTTATAAGACATTATCACTGGGGGAAACTGGGTAAAGGGTACATATGATCTATTTCTATTATTTCTTACACTTGCATGAGAATCTACAATTGTCTCAAAATAAAAATTTTAATTTAAAAAAGACAGTCCATCTGTAGCCAATCATTTTTAGTTCCTGGTTTGTAGGAAGAAGCACTCAAAGCAGTGAGAATCAAGATGTATCATTGTAGCGTGAATTCTAATATTCTCTGAGCTTTGTCCTTTTCTGTCACTCAATTAGGGGTCTTGCCTGCTGAGATTACTTTAGGGGTTTCCAGTCTCTCATTTATTTAATATTATTGTTATTTGTTAATGCTTCCACAGGGCTAATTCACTCAACTTCCAGGTTGCCCTGGCAACCCAAGACTAATGTCCCCATTTGGTACAAAGAGAAACCAGAAAAATGATGTGCCGAGGAGCTCCAAATGCAGGTTTCATAATCCTTTCTTCTTCATACATGAGCTGGCACCTGCAGTGGGTAGGATTTGAAATCACTCTTATTTTTCCTGATCATTAAATTCCTCTTCACCGGGACACCTGGGTGGCTCAGCGGTTGAGCATCTGCCTTCGGCTCAGGGCGTGATCCCAGGATCCGGGATCGAGTCCCACATCAGGCTCCCCACAGGGAGCCTGCTTCTCCCTCTGCCTTTCTCTCTGTGTCTCTCATGAATAAATAAATCTTTAAAAAAAAATTCCTAAAAAAAAAAAAAATTCCTCTTCACCTAGCGTGTGTTGTAGGTCACTTCAGAAATCACTGGTAAAAGACTAAAATCCAGCGTCTCACCTAGACCAGAGTCCTATCATTTAAGGGCCAGCTTGGCAGAGCCAAGATTTCCTTCAGGTTCACAAAGGCATTGCTGTGGATTCAAGAACAGGGAGATACAGGGTTTTCTTCCAGTCAAGGGTTATGCAATTTTCCTGCTGTTTCTGGGAGTCAGTAGCTCTCAGCTGACCACATTCAAGGCAGGTGTGGGGTGGGGTGGAGTGGTGAGGTGGCCTTGTTTCTTGTGCAAGAATCACCACTCCCAAACCAGGAATAAAACTAGGAATCGAAGCAGGAACTTGGAAGGCAAAGGCCTTGGGATCTCTCTTTCTCATTATAGTCCATGGTTGCTCTATGGTGGTGTCACCTGGGGGAAAATTGGTGTCATGGAAAATTTTACCCCTAATATCATCATTTAAAAAATGAGATAAGCGAATTAACAAGTTTTAAGCATCTGCTGTGTGACAGGCACTGTGCGGGTTGCTTTGCCAGGCCTTAATTCATGGACTTTAAACCCTGGAATCTTTTTTTTTTACGATTTTATTTATTTATTCATGACACACACACACACACACACACACACACACACACAGAAGCAGAGACACAGGCAAAGGGAGAAGCAGGCTCCACGCAGGGAGCCCGACGTGGGATTCGATCCCGGGTCTCCAGGATTACACCCTGGCCTGAAGGCGGAGCCAAACTGCTGAGCCACCCAGGCTACCCATAAACCCTGGAATCTTTAAAACCCCACCCCCAAGTAAGCATTTGATGAATCCCACTGTATAGATAAAGAGAGTAAGGCCAAAGAGGGAAAATGACTTGCCCAAGGTCACACAGTGGATAAGTAGAGGAGCTTGAAGGTAAGGCCAAGTCCACCAGATCCAAAGTCCCTGCTTTTTCTATTCTTTCTTGCTGCCATAGAGGCAGTTTAATGAAATGACTAACTGGCAGAGGTGCAAATTCTGCCATTAGGGGGATGTGGGTCCTATCTTATTAGCTCCGACTAACTCAAGTTGAATGGCCTCGGGCAATTAACTTATTTTCTTCACCTGTATAGATGAGGATTAAGAATCATTTTTTTAGGGGCACCCGAGTGGCTCAGTCCACAAAGTATCTGCCTTAGGCTCAGGTCAGGATTTGGGGGTCTTGGGATGGAGCCCCGCTCAGTGGGGAGTCTGTTTCTCCCTCTGTCTCTCCCCACTACTCGTGCTCTTTCTCTCTCTCTAATAAATAAATTAAAATCTTAAGAAAAAGAATTGTTTTTGTAGACATTGGGTTGTTGGCGGAATTTCAGGAGATTTTGTGTTCAAAAAGCACTCAGGTAGTGCCTGGCATATATAAGTGATGTTAAATGTTGGCAATAATCCGTTCCCAAAGAATAAGCCAGTTTGGTTCCCCGTTCACCCCCGTTTTTTTTTTTTTCTTTTTTAAGGTTTAAATAGACTTTATTGTGACAAGGAGGGCCCTACTGAGTGGGGCCTTATAAACCAATATGTTTGGTCCCAGGATGTCACCATGGATTGTAGAAGAGGTCACTGTAATTGAAGGACATGATCCATGGAAGGGCGGCCAGGAATGCAGCAGACATGATCAGGACAGGCCAGGGGTGGTCAGGTCACAGGGTGAGGGACAGGACAGCCCCCTTCACTCCTGCTTCTTGTAGCTCTCCAGATGTGACAGGACCCAGCCCGATGGCAGTAGGAAACACAGGAAGCAGGAGGTGAGCCCAATGGCAACATCCATGGTCCCCAGCTGCTCCCGTGGCGGCTTGGAATGGATCTGGGCACGCTGCACTGGGAGCCGCCGGGTGAGGCCTGTTAGGCCCCTCAGCAGCTGCGGCATCAGCACAGACATGACCGCACAGCCCCCGTTCCTTTTCAAAGCGTTTGCATCAACCTTCAATTCCCCAAATCCACTCAGAGCTCCACTGCTAACAATGCCCTTGCTTCGCTAAAAATCGTGACACTAGCCAATGGTTTTTTTTGTGCATCACCAAAAGCCTGGCTCTGCATCAGGTGCTTCACCTTCACTTCATTTAAACGGAGTAGCCAAGCCAAGCCTTGCTGTGGAAGTAGTGCTCAGTCCCTCCTGATGGTGGCTGCTTGAAGGCAGAACGAAGGTCGCCCCTGCCCTTTGTTGAGGCCCAGAAATTAGCAGCAACAGGTACCATTTGGGGGGGGGGTGCTTATCACAAGTTAGTCACCCCGCCAAGTGCATTACTAAGCTCGAGGAATCCTTCCAGGAGTAGCTGCTACTGTTCCCATTTTATTGATAAAGAAACTGAGCCCTAGAGAGGATACGTAGGTTGCTGTCATGGCTCTTTTGGTTCAGGTGGACCATGATTTACAGAATACATATGCATTTTTAAAAGATTTTATTTATTCACTAGAGACAGAGACACAACGCAGGCAGGCAGAGGGAGAAGCAGGCTCCACGCCGGGAGCTTGAGGTGGGACTTGATTCCAGGACTCCAGGATCACGGCCTGGGCCGAAGGCAGGTGCTAAAGCGCTGCGCCACCCGGGGATCCCTACATAACACATATTCCTAAGGCTAAAGCGCAAATGAAAAAATGAAAAATCCTCCCCTCCCCCTGGGAACTGCAAGGCGCCTCGTTGGGGGAAGGGACCACCCCTCGGCAGGCAGGCGTTGCTCTGCTCACGCAGTTCTTCAGGTCGTTCCCCCAAATCTTGGCACTTCAGAGCGCGGTATTTCCGAAGAGGACGACCTCACGCTAACCATCAGGGGGTGACGGGAACTGGCCCAAGACACCCGGTCTGACAGCGTCACAGCTGGGGCTCGAATCCCAGCTCTGTGGCCGGGGCCGCCCAGCTGTGACGCGAACGGGTGACTCCGGCCCGCAGAAGGAAGGGAGGGACCCCGCTCCCCACCTGGGAACCGGGTGGAGGGGGGCGCTCCCTGCCGAGCGGTGCGGCCGGCGCAGGGGCGGCCCCCGGGAGCCCCGCACGCCGCGCGGGACGGCGCAGGGAGGTGGGCGGGGAGGCAGGCGGCCTCGCGAGCCGGGCGGGCGGCTGCACCCGGGCGGGGGCGGGGCCTCGGCAGCCGGAGGCGGGAGTCGGAGAATCGGGGCGGGGCCTGGCGGTGCGCGGGCGACCCGGGCAGTGGGCGGGGCCTGTGAGGCCGAGAGCCGGGTCAGGCCCGTGGGTGGGGCTTCCGGCGGCGGGCGGGGCTTGGCGGCGCCTTCGGGTCGGTTCGGAAGCAGTGGGCGGGGCGGCGGGCCGCGGGCCGCGGGGGCAGCGGGCGGGGCTCGGAGGCGCCGCGGTTCCGGCTTTGAGGGGCTCTGCGAGAATCTCTGAGGACCGGGGGACGCGGCCCCGCAGAGCCAGGCGGGCCGCGGGGCGGAGCTCTGAGAACGCCCCTCCCGGTTCTGAGGAGCGGCGGGCGTGGCCCGGGGGCGCCCGGAGGCGTGGCCCGGGGGGTTGACTCGTGGTGGGCGGTGCGTGGGCTCGGCTACCGCCTTCCTCCGCAGCCCACTCGCACCCCCCGGCGCCACCAGAGGGGGCGCTAAGGAGAGCGGGGCGGGGAGCGAGGGGGAGGCGGGCCTCCCCTCCCGGAAGTGGGCGTGGTGCGCCGCAGCCCGAGGCCCTGGGTTGGGCGCGGCGCGGCGCGGGGGCGGGGCCTACGTGCGGCGGCGGCGGCGGCGGCGGCGGCGGCGGCGGCTGCCCGCGCCCCTCCCCCGCGCGGCGCTCAGTGCCAGGCGGGAGGCGGCAGCGGTTGGAGGCTTCGCGGGGCTGTGCAGCGGGGACTTCGGCGGCGGCGGCGCCTCAGGCACCTCGGCCCTGGTGAGCGGCGCGCGCCTGGCGGGGCCGCTCGGGAGCGAGCCGGCGGGCCGGCTGGTCGTCTCGGCGGTGCCGGCGCCGGTGACAGGAGCCGGCGGGGCGTGGAGCAGGGCCCGGTGCAGGGGAGTGGGCTGCGGTGGGCGCGCGGGGCGCGGACCCTAGGCCCCCCCCGCCCCGGCCGAGGTGCAGGGGCCGGAGCCGGAGCTGGTGCCGGAGGCTCGGGACGGACCCGCTTGGCCTGGGGAGGGTGGCCCGCGGTCCCCGTGGGGGGGCGGCTGCCCAGGGCGGGCTCCCGGCGGCGTGAGGAGCCGCGGGGCTGCCGAGGAAGGGCTTCGGGGGTCGGGGACCCGCCCGGCGGGGTGGGGGCCGGGGGCCGGGGTCCGGGGGGCGGGGCTGGAGCGGCCCCGGGGGGCGAGTGGGTGGGGGGCCGGGCTCACGTGGGGCGAGGGCGAGCTGGGGCTCAGCGTGGGAGGGCGGGGGGCGACGGCCGGCCGCAGGGTGGCTGGCTGCGGGTGCGAGGGCAGCCCCGGGCCGGGAAGGGCGGGGCGCGGCCGGAGCCGGAGTAACGTGGGCGGGGGCGCCGGTGGGAGCGGGATGAGCCGGGCGGGGGAAGAACGGAGCGGGGACGCCGCGGGGTCGGGGCCCTGGAGCGCCCGAGTGAGCCGGGGGGAGCGGAGCAGCCGGCGGGGCGCGGGCAGCGGGAGCGAGGTGCAGGTGGGGCTCGGCGGCGCCCAGATGCCGGGGGATGAGGTCAGATGTGGAGGGTGGAGATGCAGGAACCCGGCGCTCCCGCCTGTGCTCAGAGGCGCGCACGCACCAGCTCCGCGTCTCTCCGATGCTTTGAGTGTGTCGGGGGAAGTGGCAGGCTGCAAGGGAAAGCCGAGAAGAAAGGGGCTTCCTCTTGGAGGGAGGCGCTGGCCCTGCCGTCCTTTTTTGGGAGTGTTCAAAGGGTTTTGATGGCTGGAAAAGGAAGCGTAGGCTTTACTGCATGGTGGTTTAGAATCGCATCCTATATTTGGCCTTGATGTAGGCTGCCCTTGTTTTGTGGTGTCTCAAGTCCTTGCTCTACATGTCGCAAACGTGGGATTCAGCGTGCGGAGCAAATTGCAAGTTGTTCATCTCCCCCAGGATGGGAAGACAGATACAAAGGCCTTCCCTTCCTTTAAGACAGTTAAACAGAAAACGAATATAGTGCGTGTTTTTAAACTGGTACTGGGTGGCGAAGGTCTTTACTTTTGGTAAGAGTCATCACAGAATATTAGGCCCTTTTACTGCAGCCTTCCTGCCTGGGGTTGCATCCTAAAACAGTTCTTGTAGGGCTCTTAGTCACTCTGTATAATAATGCATTTCATTGTCCTTACCCGGCAGAACTCTCTCCTGACACCAGGGCCTGGAAGCATAGACAAAAACATGATTAAGTATAAGCAGTTGCTTTGTACCGGCTGTTCATTTGTGAAGGCAAATAGATTATCTGTTTATATAACTTCACTTTCTGGGTTCCCTGTAAATCTGAAGAAATGGGAAAAATCTGTTTTGGACTTGATCCCGTACATTTCAGAGAACTAACTTAAGGAAAGTAATTATTTATTATTATTATTGTTGTTGTTGTTGTTGTTTTAGAGTGGAGGTACATTTCAGACACAGTGTTTGGATGTGAAGTCTAGTTAGTAACCCTGGGCTCTGAGAGGTTGCATAAATACTTTGGGGCAGAAGCAAAATAAAACTGGGAATTCCATTGTATGTTAGGCCTCCAAGACGTGCAATGTTGTGTGGTAGGTGATAGTCATGGGTACGGAGGACTGAACTAGGATTGGTATAAAGGTCAGGTACACACACCGTTTTGACAAAGGCAGAATGTGCCTTGCCCCCATATTTGTCTTTGATTATTGTGAAAGGTACATTGAAGCCTGATGACTTTTAATAGATACATACCAGTGAACTATCACACTGCAGGCAGTATTGAATTTTTCATGTTTGTTACTTTGCCTGCAGATTGGGTTAATTAGCATTTATGTCTATTACTTTACATAGTTCAGGATTAGATTGTGTTAGTAGGTGACACATAGTACTTTTTAAAACACTGTTGGGTTTTTTGATTTTTATTTTATTTTTAATAAAATGTCTAAAATAGGCACCTGTCACTTTTGGGATCCACTTCAGCCATGAGGAGAAGAGTCACTCCAATGTCTGTGAAATGGAATGTTCAAAAGGTTATCAGTTTTCGGTTATGTAACCGGGAATGGCAAATTATTTCTTAATACTTTGATTTGTCACAAATTGGTGCTTTAGAAACATTATTTGGGCTGTTTCAACTTCGACTGTTTCAGAGGTAGAACAGTAATAAACTTGGGTGCCTTTTTCTTAGGCAGAGTACAAATCCATGTTTGTTTTCCATTTGATGACTTCCCTGTGTTATCCTGTTTCTGAGTTATAAGAACTCTTTTTCTGACACTTCTACATCTTTTTCAGCTTAAGATGCCTTTTCTGTATTAAAACATGGAAATCCTCATGAATATTTCAGTATGACCTAGTACCTAGAATCTTAAGTAATAGAATCTCTCTGGGTTTTCTTTGCCCTAGTTTGGATCCTTTAAAATAAAATGAGTGAGCACGATTCTCTACTCCTTTTTGAGACCTTATTTGTACTTCAGTAATGCATAATGGAATCCTTTTTGTTTTATAACTGCTTTTTGAGATTTAATTCACATACCATGTAATTCACTACTTAAACGTGTACAGCTCAGTGGTTTTTGTTATATTCACAGAGTTGTGCAGTCATCACCATAGTTTTAGAGCGTTTCCATCAGTCCAAAAAGAAATCCCATACCCGATAGCTGTCCTTCCACCCCCCTATTCACTGTCCTCAGGCAGCCGTTAATGTATTTTCTGTCTCTGTGGATTTGCCTATTTGAGACATTTCATATAAGTGGGATCATTCAGTATGTGGTCTTTTGTGTCTGTCTTATTAAGTATAAGGGTTTTCAAGGTTTATTTATGTTGTAGCACGTATCTGTGCTTTATTCTTTTTTTTTAAATAAGATTTTATTTATTCATGAGAGACGCAGAGAGAGAGGCAGAGACATAGGCAGAGGGAGAAGCAGACTCCCCTGCAGGTAGCCTGATCTGGGACTCCATCCTAGGATGGGATCACACCCTGAGCCAAAGGCAGGCACTCAGCCGCTGAGCCACCCAGGCGTCCCTGCTTTATTCTTTTTTTAATGGTTGAATAATATTCCATTGCATGGATATACAGTATTTTGTTTGTCCATTCATCAGTTGATAGACATTTGGGTGTTTCCCCCTTGGCTGCTATGCATAATGCTGCTGTGAACATTCCTGTACAAAGTTTCTGTGTGGACATGTTTTCATTTCTCTTGGGACTTGCTGGGTCATATTGGTTACTCTGTGTTTAACTGTTAGAGGAACTGCCAGACTGTTTTCCAAAGCAGCTGCATCATTTTACAATTCCACCAGCAGTGTATAAAGGTTTCAATTTCTCCATCTCCTTGTCAACACAGTTATTCTCTTACTTTTTGACTAGCCATCCTAGTGGGTGTGAAGCAGTATCTCATTGTGGTTTTGATTTGCATTTCCCTGATGGCTCATGATATCCAGCATCTTCTAAAGTAATTCGCAGACAACTATATTTTCTCTGGAGAAATCTCTATTCAGATGTTTTTTAAAATTTTAAATTGTATTATCTTTTTATTGAGTTATGAGTTATTTATATATTCTAGATTTACAGTACCTTATCAGATGTATGATTTGCAAAATGTTTTTCTAATTCTGTGAGTTGCCTTTTCACTTTTTAAATTTTTTTTTATTTTTTAAAGATTTTATTTATTCATGAGAGAGACAGAGAGAGAGGCAGAGGGAGAAGCAGGCTCCATGCAGGGAGCCCGACATGGGAACCCACTGATCCCGGGTCTCCAGGATCATGCCCTGGGCCGAAGGCAAGCGCCAAACCGCTGAGCCACCCGGGCTTCCCAGCCTTTTCACTTTTTTGATGGCATCCCTTGAAGCACAAAAGTTTTTAATATTGTTGAAGTCCAATTTATGCATAATGGAGTCAACTGATAATGGAGTTAGGAGTTACTTGGACCTTAAATCACATCCTCATCAATAATGTGGTTCTACAGATTAGAAACCAAATGTAAAGGGTTAGGGAAAGATTTAAAAGTAGATGATAAAGGGTTTGTCAGGAACATATCATTCCGCTGTTTAATTCTCTGGCGGCTTCCTGACTCCTCTCTGGTTAAACTCCAGACTTCTTCATGTGGTTGTAGATCAAGGTGTCTCTGATTTCAGCAGCCTCCTCTCTCACTACACTCCCTCCTGTTTTCACTTCCTGAAACTTCCCAGCCTTCAGACCTTATAATGAGCTTACTACTACGCACCTACCCCCTAATCTGCTGAATCCCACTTGTCCTTTGGGATCCTCCATGAAACCTCCTCATCCCTGCAGGCAGACATTGTCCCTGTCATCCTGCTGTCTGCTACAGGAACTGGACCTGAACTTGAGCTTCGTGTCAGAAAGGCACCTTCCACAGAAGGCAGAATGAGAGAGAAGTTCACATGGAAGGCAGGCTGAGATTGCCTTGCTCACAGCTTTGTCTCGAGTGCCTCTTGGGTTATTTGCTGAATGAAGGATTATCAAAGTTAATTGGAAAGACTTTGAGTTCAGTGGGTTTCTCTGATTAATTACATCTTTATTGTGTGTGTTGAAGTAACCTGAAGTACTGGGGTGATTCCTCCTCTGCCTTTCTGACACCCAGGTCCAGCTCTTGCCAAAAAATTGCTCAGATGTAAAACCGAGCATGTGAAATATTTTCCTGAGAGCAGAATCCTCTTGTCCACGTTCTTTCCCCCTAATGAACAGTGATGACTGGTGCACAGCCTTCTCAGTAGGACAGATGGGCAGGGTACATTTTTAGGTTTGATATGATTTCGCCACATCAAATGCAGCAGGCCAGCTCTGATGATATGGAGTCGATCGGTACTGGAACCACTCCTGTGTACACCCGATGATGGGTGTAAACTGGGTTTTCAGGGCACACGCATTCTTGTCTTTCATTCTTTTGTTCATGCTCTCTTGCTTCTCTCAGAGCATCTGACTCTACTAGTCTTTAGTTATGCTTTGTGCTCCTATGTTCACTTTTTATAGTTTCATTGAAAATACTCTACTGAAAAAAAAAAAAAACTCTACTGTTGGGCAGCCCGGGTGGCTCAGCGGTTTAGCACCTGCCTTCGGCCCAGGGTGTGATCCTGGAGTCCCGGGATCGAGTCCCACATCATGGAGCCTGCTTCTCCCTCTGCCTGTATTTGCCTCTCTCTCTGTGTCTCTCATGAATAAATAAATAAAATCTTAAAAAAAGAAAAAGAAAATACTCTTTTTAAAGATTTATTTATTTATTTTAGACAGAGGGAGAACAAGTGCCTGGGTGAGGGGGAAGAGGGAGAGAGAACCTCAAGCAGATTCTCTGCTGAGTGAGGATCCTGATGTGGCGTTCAGTCTGAACTGAAATCAAGAATTGGATGCTCAACTGACTGAGCCACTCAGGCTCCCTTAGTATCTTGAGAATTAGGAGAAACCGGTTGGCCATTTAGGGAACATTTCTTTTTTATGTGTGTTCATTGAAGTGGTTGGATTATGGTAAGGTAGTAAAGAAAAAAAAATAATTTCAAATTTGTCTCTTTAGGCTCAGTGAGCCGTCCCTACCTTTGTAGTTTTTTGCTCTAAGAGAGTTTTATATTTAGAGAAACTGAGGCAGTGGAAGATGCAGGCCTTTAGAGCTAGACTGAGCTGGGTTTCACTCTTGGCTCCACTTCTTAATTATCTGTGACTGCCAGTTATCTCACCTCCCTG